TCAGCCCCGCTGCTCCGGGTCCGGCCTCCGTTACAGAAACACGGGGTGCCGTCCGCCGCTGGTACCCGAGACCGGGCCGGACGGCCGGGCGCCCTGCAGAGCTGCAGGAGTCCCAGTCGCCCAAACCGACGAGAGTGGTAACAAAATCGCGCTCTTTCGCAGGCAAATTTCGAGATGCACCGTCGCATCCCAACACCTGAAGTCCGCATACGCCTACCAGCGGGTGGTGTGTCCGCACTGAATGGGCGACGTTTGCTCTTTCCAGGATCTCATAAGCCAGTGGTGCATCGTTTTAAACAATATATATGTTTTGTTGTCCTAATCAGTTTGGCTCAGTGGATAGAGCGTCGGCCTGTGGACTCAAGGGTCCCAGGTTCGATTCCGGTCAAGGGCATGTACCTTGGTTGCGGGCACATCCCCGGTGGCGGGTGTGCAGAAGGTAGCTGAACGATGTTTCTCTCTCAGCGATGTTTCTAACTCTCTATCCCTCTCCCTTCCTCTCTGTAAAAAATCAATAAAATATATTTAAAAAATATGTATATATGTTTTGTTGATGTCAGAGAGGAAGAGAGACAGAAACATCAGTGATGAGAGAATCACTGATGGGCTGCCTCCTGCGCGCCCCCCACTGGGGATGGAGCCTGCAGCTGGGCACATGCCCTGACAGGGAATCCAATCGTGAGCTCCCACTCAGAATGCATCTTACAGCGATGGCGATGGCGTTGTAAGCTCAGTGATGTGCAGCCCAGCCTCTCCCTCCCCCCAAGGGCATGCACCCAGATTCCTTATCCCTCCGCTGATTGTTAAAGGCCCAAGGCGCCCCTTCCTGGCTGGAGCTGCCCAGGCCAGTACCAAGACTAACTAAAGAAACCACGGCTGTGAGCCCAGCAACTTCAGCCTCCCTGACACAACAGCTTCTTCCCCTTCTCAGCCCTGGGAGAGATCAGCATGAAACAGAGGCAGCGGCTAGTGAAACGTGGTGGAATACGGCCGGCATCGTCCTCCCCCCTGAAAGGATGGGGGTCAGATTCGACAAAGGCAGGAACCCATGAAGACAGAAGGCGGGATCTTGTGGAGCTGGGGGACAGTGGGCAGGGGGTGGGTTGGGGGGACTACAGTTGTGCCCAAGCCATCCTTGACAGCACAGTGGGTAAAGGAGGAGGCCCCCGACCTCTGTCCCTCTCAGCAGGAGGACGAGCTCTGAGCTCTAGCAGAGGAGCTCTGGGCTGGCCAGGGGCAGGCCCTGCTGTGGAAGTGAGTGAGTGAGACCCCTGCCCTTTCACCAGGTGCCACGCGGGTCCTCAGAGAGGAGAGCCCCTCTGCATCAGCTCCCAGCTCGGGAGAAAAGATTGACAGCTGGGGGGCAGGGGGTGCCCAGGGGAGTGACCTGGCTAGATGCATGGTCTCAGCTCAGAATGTCTCCCTCCTAAATGCAACCGGGCAGCCCAGGGTCACCAACACCCGAGGAAGAGGAAAAAGACGAAGGAAAAGGGACTCAGAAGGAGCAGAGACAATAAAGCAAGGAGAAGAAAAGCTAAAACTACATCCGCAGAGATACTGGAGAGGTGCTGCATCCAAAAACAACAAGAGGCGATAAGGAAGGACATTCAGCAAATGAGAAAGAGAGCTTACAAATGAAACGCGAGAGGAAAGCCAACAGTTCAATAGAAGGGTTGAAAGATACAGCTGAGCCCGGCCGCGCGGCCGTGGGGGAGCATCGACCCATGCACCAGGCAGGCACGGTTCCATTCTGGGTCAGGGCACATGTCCCGGTTGTGGGCTCCATCCCCAGTGTGGAGCGTGCAGGAGGCAGCCGATCCATGATTCTCTCCCATCATTGATGTCTCTCTCTCTCTCTCACTCCTTTCCTTTCCTCTCTGAAATCAATAAAAATAGGTAAAGCTGAAATCTTCCAGAATGCATAACAACAAACTAGGTAGCTCGAAAACAGAAAATGTGGTCATTACCATGCTGGTCAGCACTGTCCAGAGTTTAGACCAGGCCAGACACCTCAGGCCTCCATAATGCGGGGGGGGGCCTCGGGGAGCCACAAGCACCCGCACGCCGATGGCAGCTCCCCTGTGAAATGGGCATGTAATGCAGCAGTCAGAGGCTCGTGGCTGAGCGCTGTTCTCATGACACGCTCACCCCGTGGGACCCGTGCAGCAGTCCTGGAGCGGGCACTGTGACCCCACGTTTGCAGAGGAGGCAGCGGAAGCACAGACCAGCGTCCCAGGGCAGGACGCAGAGGAACGAGTCCTGGACCCCTGACCACCACCTCTCGTGCCTCTCAAAAGTCAAGCCCAACATCTACATGACAAGAGTTCCAGACACTAGGGAGGGGAGAAATAAATAATAAACGTGTAAAAAATGTTCTAGCATCGAAAGGTTGGGAATCTCTTGACATCAAGGCATGTGGCTGGGAACTCCCAGAGCATGGGACAAAAGGGATATGGAGAGAGAGGGGGAGGAGAGAGAGAGAGAGAGTGGAGAGAGAGAGAGAGAGAGAGAGAGAGAGAGAGAGCGAATAAGCAAAGGGTCAGAAGTCAGAGGCACCAAGCATCAAGGCATGTGGCTGGGAACTCCCAGAGCATGGGACAAAAGGGATATGGAGAGAGAGGGGGAGGAGAGAGAGAGAGAGAGTGGAGAGAGAGAGAGAGAGAGAGAGAGAGAGAGAGAGCGAATAAGCAAAGGGTCAGAAGTCAGGAAGGCACCAAGTTCTGGGGCCAGAAGAAAATATGTCTTCCACGTCTTGGGAAGAAATGGCTCAACCTCGCCAGCCTTTGTACCTGGCCACCCTGACGCGCAGATGTGAGTCCAATAGGAACAGGCCAAGGCCCCCCACTTCCCGTGCATCCTCTCGGGAAACCGGGAGGACGTTCTTCCCCAAACAGGGCAAACGGGCGGAGGAAGGCTGGGGTCCAGGGGCCGGGGGAGCACCAGGAGCCAGGGCAGGAGCAGGCCCTGCTGGCAGCTGCGCCCAAGGGCAAGCAGCCTGGGGCGGAGTGGGCAGGGCGGGACTCCAGGGGGAGGTGAGACCGAGTAGGCACTTAGGTCAGGGCTCTCCCAAACTGAGGGAAGTCCCCCCTCCTGCAGGAGGATGTCAGGGTGAATTGAGACATGCACAGAAACCAAGTAAACAAACTGGAGAGGCAATTATTAACTCCAGGGGAACCCAAAAGTTGTGCAAGAAAAGCAAATATAACCCCGGGACACCTTGTTCTCTGCTGGGGCCTGTGGTGAGGAAGCTGTAAGAATACTCTGCACTCTGGGATGGTAGTGGGTCAGGGGACACCTAACGTGAACACACACACAAACGCAGTCAAAGGCCTGTGGTTCTGTGGGACCTGGGTTTTAAATGACAGGAGATACAGCTAAGAGTGAAGCTGGAAAGGATCAGGGTCAGAGACGACGTTTATTGTTTATTATTCGCCTAAAAAACCACTTTACTTTTTAAAATAATATGCGTATAACGTTGGTAAACGTTAAAACGAAAACCTCAACGTAGGCTCGATTAAAGGGCGCAGTGGCAGTGAGGGGAGTCCGCGTCCCGTTTAATCGCTGGTACAGTCTGTTACTCCTTTGACGTCAAAGTGTTTAAGATGATGTGGATCAGACAGCTTAGCATCAGGGTTTCCAATTAGGCATGTAAGTTACTTTAGATTTGCAATTTCAGGGTGAAGGGTGTGAGAATTCAAATAGTTTTGCCGAGTGAACTGTTTATGACTCGAGAGCCACCGTATCTGCACACTTAATGTCTTGGATGTGCCTTGGTTGGTTTTGTCTTGGGCTTTGGTTTGGGCGACGCGGCAGGTGGAATAATGACTCCCCCCTCCCCGCAAAGATGCCCGTGCCCTAATCCCCGGCCCCTGTGGATGCTCCTGCCCACGGCAGAAGGACCTGGAGATGGGGAGACTGTCCGGGGGGACTGAGCCTAATTACATGGAGCTTTTCTGGCTGCAGAAAACCAGACAGGTGGTTCACGAGAAAGACTTGGCCGCTGTTTCTGGCTTTGAAGGTGGAGGCTGGGGCCACGAGCCAAGGAATGTGGCCGCCTCTGGACGCTGAGCTCGGCCTGCAGTTCACAGCCAGCTGAGCACAGGGCCTTGGCCCTGCCGCTGCGAGGAAATGAACGCCTGCCCAGCGCCCAGCGCGTGCCATGCCTCACCCCGCCAGCCAAACCCCAACCTGAGGGAAGAGAACCCGGATCCTCCCCGGGAACTTCCCGGAAGACGTGCTCTGAGGGCGCCTCGGCTGTGGCGGGCGAGGCCCGGGCCAGACATCTGACATACAGAAACAGAACCGCCTGGGTGGGGTGTAGCCACAATGTCTGGGTGATTCTTGTAGCAGCAACGGGCACCTGGTGGGTGGGAGCTTCCCTGGGTTGGCCTCTGAAACGCCTAAAAGGAACCCTGAATGCACTATGTGTGGGTGTACGCATGCAGTGTGAATGGTCAGTGTTTACAGCTGAGAACAGAGGAGGGGCCGAGAGAAGCCAGTCCAGGGCAATGGGGGTGGTTGGCAGTGGGCAGGACGGGGGTGGGGGAGACCCCTGGGGGGTGAGTTTGAAGGAGGCACCATGAGGAGCAGGGGAGGAGTCTGACCTGACCCCTCTAGGCCAGGGAAGGTGGGAGAGAAAAGAGCCCTTTGGAGGGGCTGCAGGGCCAGCCTCAGAGCCGTGCAAGCTCAGAGGGTTCCAGAGCGGCCGCACAGGATGGGGCGCAAGAACCACGTGGTGCTGGGGGCTGGGCGTCTCTGGCTGCTCCTCCCGCCAGGTGGGGGCCCTGCACCCTGCCCGATGCTGCAGGTGCCGGACCATTGACTGGAGGAGGGCGCTCCCTGTGGGTCTGTGGTGCCCCCCTCAAGGGCACCCTTGCCACTGACCCACGGCTTGGAGGGTGGGGTCATGGGAAGGAATGGTGAGCTGGGGAGGCAGGTGGGGTGAGGGGATCCTGGTTCCAGGAATGGGCGTGGCCTCATCACGGCCCCCCTCCCCCGCCGGTGGGCTCAGCCCTCCTCCCCACGGCCAGGGTCTCTCAGGAGGGAGGGCCCTCGTCCAGGCCGCGGGTGCTCAGCCCCTGGTCCCAGGCCTGGCGCCCTGAATCCCCGTGCGTCACTGGGCTCCGCGGTACTTGAGGAAGGTGCTTTCCAGGAAGGCGGCCAGCTTGGTCCGGTCGTCCTGCAGGGCAGGAGGTCGGCATAGGGG